AGCTAACCCAGCTGAGCTGATGTTTCAGTGACCTTCCACGTTTCCTACTGATGATGTGCAGCTACTTTTCTTTTTCCCTTTTTTCTTTTTTCTGTACAGAATTTCTTTTTTTCATATTTGGGTGGGTTTGGGGTTTTTTTTTTTTGAGTATAAGAGCATATATGTGTGTTTTTATCCTTTTATATCAATGAAAACTTGACTGTTTTTTAGGTCTGTGAACCCTTGCCATAATTAGGACTCCAAATGCAGACACAGTAAAAAATGAATGTTTTAGGCTTGGAAACATTCTGGACTGTTTCAAATGATTGGACTGTTTGGTACTGAGGGGTAACTTGCTGCAAAAAAAACAGGGGATCTTGCATTACAGAAATAACCTGGTGGATTAGGGTGGTGAACATAGATAAGCCTGGAAGAACCTAACCTGTGGAAACAGCAGAAGCAACCCAAAAGGGCTGGTTAATGCCTCTGCTTGCAGATGTTGCAGGGCCAACTTCTGGCAAGAAATAAGATGGACTGATCATGGTGCTCCTGCTGGGTTTCAGTAAATGCCTCCATATCCTGGAGGATAAGCCTTGGTTTAAGTCCTTCTCTGCCTTTTTAACTCTCCAGACTCATTCCCAGCTGTAGTGGATTTAATGTCTTTGCTGTAAGTACCTTCACAAGGAAATAAGAATTCATAATCTGCAGAGATAATAGATATACTAGAATGGAACTGTTCCAATACTGTTCCTGCCAGAGGCCAGACTGAAAGATAGAGATATAAAGCTTGCAGCAGTTGTTCATTACTCCCTTGCATTTGGCTGCAAAGGGAGTCACCACACCTGCTCAGTGGAGTGTGTAGGTATTACAAATCTCTCATCTTCCTGAACCTTCCCTGATATACTAGAGATACATTTCATTATTCTTAAAGTGCTGGTGAGACAGAGAGGGGTGAACTTCTGTAAAAGTAAAGGTTTAGCTTTAGGTTTTCTTTAATTTTTTGTTAAACACCCTATTAACACCACAGTTAAATTGCCTCCTGATATTTTTTTTTTTAGCTGGCTGGCAGTTTTATGAAGTCTCCTGATGAAATTGTGCCTCTTATGAAGTATAATAAAATTGCACTTTAAGTCAAGCCAGACTTATGTCCATTTAACTTGTATTTCAGCCTTGCTGTCTTTTTTATGGCAACCCGAAGAGAGACCAAGGAGAAACATTGTAAGAAACTGTCTCCTTCCTCATTTAGTTACTTGACATCTGGCTCAAATGTGTACTGCAGGCCCCTCCTCAGCTCTTCCTCTCCTTCCAATAAAGAAGTCTGCCTTTCTCAAGGAGGAAATAATTTTTAAAAATACTTAAATTTTAGAAAATCTCGAGTGATAAACCATTTTCTCCAAAGAAGAAGCATTTTAACATCCAGCTCTGCCAGCTTCCATGCACAGCATACTTTTTACTTTTTTTTTTTTGGGATCTGCCTGTGCCCCCTCTGGTCAACCTCCTCATGAACTGCTGGTTCTTGGCAGTGGAGGCACAGACAGCTTCGTGTTTGTGCAGCTCAGCTGAAGGGGAGGATGGCACAGGCAGCAGCTTAGATGGTTCTGAGCATCTCTTTGTACTGAAGCAAAGCTCCAGCTGACTTTTTTTTTTCACCCCAAGAACATGTGTAATTCTACAATAGATAACAGACCCTGCTCCTCGCTGCATACAGCCTAAAGCATTTGTTCTGTGCTGAGGAATTTGGGATGATTTTGTAGAAGTTTGGATGGCAGTGGGTAACTGGCCTTTTCATGCCATCAGACTATCTATTGTTAAATACACAGCAGTCACAGTAAAGTAGTAGTATTATGCTTCCAAACAGTAACTAGAGAACCTAGAATTAAAGACCACTGTCTCATTCAAAGTGCTGGATGAGTATTGTTCATATAATGTAGTATTATTCAGTGGTTTTTTTCCTTGTTCATGTGAATTCGTGCTTTGTTACTGTGCCCAGCTCAATCCCTGCTCTGGAGTTGCCAATTTCTTTCTGAACTAGCAACATGTTATCACTCAATGTCTCACAGTTTCAAAAAAAAATATGTAGATTCCATGAAGTATCACATTCATCTGGGTTCTGTACTTCAGGGCAGAGTGTCAAACCAGAAGTAACCCCCCTGGATTTAGATCTCTCTGAGGTGACTCAAACTTGCTGTGGTTTTGGAGGTTTTTTCTTCTTCAGGGAACTTAAAGTATGAAATGTCATTATAAATTGTAATCACAGCTTGCCTCAGGTAGAAACCACAGCTGGGAATCCTGCAGATCAGACCCCTGGATCCCAAATTGGGCAATCAGTTGGGGTTGCATCCAGGCAGCTGTCAGTAACAGAGGACAGCAACTGAGAAAGGAGCAGGGGGGAGCAACAGCCTTGGGTCAGCCCATGGTGAATGAACATGCTGAGACAGCTTCTGTAAAACCTGAGGACATCTTGCCCTTACTGACTGCCTGTGAAATACAGTCGTTGGCTCTAGAGTAGCAGTTTTTCTGTGCTGGCAGGTGCTCCCTGGTGCAACTTGTATGTAGTTGCTGCTCCTGCTGCATGATGTCCTGGCCTGTCCCAATTCCTCCTAGGAGGAGGGCTGACCTCACTCAGCTCCCCCCACTCCTGAATTTGCTTTGCAGGAGAGTGGGGTACCTGCAGGGGAAGGACACTTGGAGCTGGGAATGCATCTTCTCCTTGGCTGGGCTGTGGCCAGTGGGGAAATCCTGAAACCAGGACTTGCATGGTCTGTGTGGCAGGGCAGGCTGAGGATTAAACACCATAGTTCTCCTGTCTTCATCTCTCTTTTTCCAAGCCCCAGGCATCAGTCGCAACATGCTTTCCAGCATCAGCTAATTGAGCACCTCCCTGCTAATTGTCCTGATTCTCTGAGCCCAGAGGTGCCTGCTGCCTGGTCCCTCTACTGCTTTGCACCAAAAGGGGCTTGAGAAATTCACCTTGACCTTTCTGTTGAGTTTGTGAAGTGCTTTTCCAAATGCTTGCCCTCTGTAAGGTTTCCTGTTGTTGTTCACAGTGTCTGCCAGGAGTAGCTGTGTCACTCCTAAAACTTTTACTGTTAATCCTGGAGATACTGTAAAGTCCGTGGAAGAAACAGTTGCCAGAAATTGTCAAGATAGAGAGAGTGTGTCTACAATGAATATTCTAGATACCTTCAACTAACAGATTTAGAGGGAAGAAAACTTGTGGAGCTACTAAGCCTAAAGATGCCTCTTCTCTGCTCTGGGCATCCTTGAGCTATGAGTTCCTACTAGAGGTGTGGGGGACACTCTGGGTGGTGTTGCTAATTGTGCTTAAAGTCCTTACATGACAGTCATTTTTTCCTGCCTGAGGCAGAATGCTGCTTGAGGGGGAGAGACCTTTGGTGTGGCCTGGAGGAACCATTCCCATAGTCAGCTACATTGCTGTAGTACACTGCAGGAACAGCTTCAGCAGGTCAGATCAAAGGTGCTGCTCCTTCTACACCACTGCTGGTCTTTGAGGACATGAATTGTCTTGGTTGAACTTCAAAAAACTGTGTCCTGAAGCAGGTATGAAGTTAGGAAAACTTCATGGAAACTGTTTTTTGAAGCGTGGTGAAGGTTGTTAAACATTTCCAAAATACAGTGCTGCAGTGGTAAGTACCAGCACCTCTAGTTACCCTCCTGATAATTCTTCAAAGTTGCTGTGGTCAGTTTAGAAAGACAAAACATGTGGAAGGGAATGAAAGGAAGTTTTCTGTCATATAAGGTGGTGTTTAGGCTCACAGCCACATACATGAGCACACTGATTCAAGAGTGTGCCTCTGTCAGCAGCGTGCTGGGGTTGGCTGGAGGACACGAGCCCCTTGGTCTTGTTGGGGTGTGCAGGGGCAGGGGTGTTGTGCAAAAAAATGCTGAAGGAGTGGGAAAATATTCCTGTAGGTGGAAAATATTGAGCTGAGCACTGTTCAGGAACAATAACCCAGTGGCTGCGTGCATTGCTGATTTTAAAATGTGATTTGCAGGAGGTGCACAAACCATTGATTTTACTCAACCTTTTACTCATTTTCTGGAGTTGTTTCTTACGTCAAGTCTTCCTGAGACCAGCCTTTAACTTAGTAATAGTTAATGTTTCTAAATTTGGGGAGGTTGCTCTGGTTATTTTATGTTTCAAACACATAAGCAGCAAATGTGTCTGTAGTGCCCAGAGGTGGTTGATGTCTGTCTGTCCCTGGCAGGCCTGCCCGTGGCAGCTGCTGCCTCTGAGGGAGTTCTTGCCTTTTCCAAGGCTTAGGAAGCAGCCAAGGTTTTTGTGGGCCCGTGGCAGCTGCCTCTGAGGGAGTTCTTGCCTTTTCCAAGGCTTAGGAAGCAGCCAAGGTTTTTGTGGGAGGAGGTAAAGTCAGCAAGAAACAATTCTTTCTAATGCTCTTCTGAAGGCGACCACCTTCAAAAGGATTTTAAATGTGTATGATTTAATTTCTTATGCTAGTTGTCAAAAGGCTTGGTTTATGATTAAGGAAAGTTAGGTGCTGCCCCAGTCCTAGGGAAGCCTAAAGAGGAAAAGGATTTCAGTCTAGCATTTTTTAATAGCTATTTGATGACGGTAAAAACAAAACCCAACTCCTGATGTTTATTGTTTTGGGGCTTTATAGTAATGAGTGTGTTTTCCTACTATAAAACTTTTAATATTAAGGGCTAAAAAAATGCTATCTGTACAGATACTATTTCACCAAATCAAGCACACAAACGCCTCTGTGGTTATTTACTATTTCTAGAGAGCATGTGATAAAAGAATCTTTTTAATTTAACTTGGGCTCCCACATGTTCTTCTCATTCTGACCTGGTGAAACTGGGTGTCTTTTGTGGCAGGTTCAGGAGACCCTCTGCAATCTTTCCTCTTCTTGTTTGGCTGCTAATAACTGGAAAAACTGACCGAGCAAGAGGATGAAGAGGTTGAGCCAGCAGTTGCCACAGTGACAGTTGTCCAATATAAATATCTTACAACTCTTCTGTTTATCATCTGTTTTCAGGGCAGTTTAAGCTTCTGGAACAAGACCGAGATATTAAGGAGCCAGTGCAGTATTTTAACAGTGTGGAGGAGGTGGCTAAAGCATTTCCTGAACGAGTTTACGTCATGGAGGAAATAACATTCAACGTTAAGGTAGTCCCTGAATAAATATTTATCCCTGTCTACATGATTAACTGTTACAACCTTTATATACATGGCAAGTGAGCAGCAGTGCTGTGTGGGAAGTGTGATTCTGGAGACAAACGAGCCCTTAGCGTTCTGCATTTAGTGATGGTGCTCCTTGGGATCATTTTTATAGTCTCAAATCAACACGTCCTCTAAGGGCTCTCTGGTGCTATGGCACTTTGGGGACCAGTCCTGATGATACGTCCAATAATTCGTCTAATTAGGTTGCTCCTGCCAGATTTTAAACAACTGTTGTTTGTTGCCCCCATTCTCCTCCCCCAGCAGCAGTCTCAATTTTACTCTCTGCTCAGCAGCAGCTGCTCAGGTCCCTGTCCAGAAAGCCTGATTCTCAGAGAGCACATCGAGTGAAATGGTGAGGTTGCTTGTCTCCAAATTACTGCAGCTCAATAGCATTGTGAATACAACAAAACAAAACAAAAAAACCACCAAGACACACTTGTTCTCTGGATGTGTGAGCTCATCAAAGGGTCAGCAATCCCACGAGTGTAAGAGGGTTTGCCAGTACCAAACACACTCTAGTGCAGTGGCATGAAACAGTGAAGACAGAACTTGCTCTTCCTTGCCCTGCTTCTGTGTGATGCTGCACAAGGTAGGGCAGCTGTGCCAACAGAGCAGAGTGGGCTCTGGGCTTGTCTGGTTTCCTTCAGATGATGCACCCCCTAAGACTGGTAGAAGAGCATCCTAGAGCTGAGGGATTCTGCAGATCCACATCCTGTACCCCACAGGGGAAGCTGATTGATATTGCTGGTGCAAAGCCAGTGTGGAGTTTCCTGCTCCTGTGTGTAGCGAGGTGAGATTTGCTGAAAAGCCTTCTAATGGATTTGTCTCATTCTTGCACTGCTAGAGTTTGGGGACAGCAGCTACTCTGCAGTTTTTATAGGTGCAAAACAGGATTGCTGAGGACTGCTCCAAGTGCAAGAGTTCATCAGTTAATTCATTTAGTGACACAGACTCACGTCTTTCAAGACAAGTAGGTTGTTTTCATTTATGCTCTCCATTAACCTGAACATAGAAAGCATGAATAAAGGCTACATGAGAAAGCTGGAACACTTTTGTGTGTTTAGGACATGGTTTGGCAAATCAAGGCAACAAGAAAACTTCATTTCTACCCAGGAAAACCAGACTTACATTGGGACTAGTACCCTCATCCAGTGCTGTGTCATTATTTCTCAGTTGTTCAATGACCAGATTAATACAGGGGCACAATAAAATGTACAGCTGTGATTTTATAAAGAGAAAAATATTCCTCTGTAGGCTTGTTTAAATGGAAAATGTTGTATCTTGAGTCTAATATGAGTGTTCTTAAAATGCTTTGCCATATTTAGCAAACTGAGAAATAAGAATAGCTTACTGTTGAATATCAAATCCATTTTTAAAAGGTATTATGGTGATACTCCTTAATGTAAATAACAGTAATATTAATCCAGGTTTAACCTAGTTACACAGTTATCTTGGCAGTATTTCTCTTGGCAGTTTTTCCAGTTTCATAGAAGTCTGTTCCAAGGTTAGCATCTTCCAAAAAATAAATGAACTTAACAGGATTTATTAAAGAGTTTAATAACCCTTTACATGCAAGAGAATTATTTACGCTAAAATTTTGATGTAGGGGAGATTCTGTCAAAGTGATGAGAGCAAAGGGAGGAATACTAAATAAATACAGTTGATTTCTGTCCAAAGCAGTGTGCCTGTTTAAATTCATAAGGCTGTATTGGAAGGGAGCTAATCTGATAGAAAAAGGGAAAAAAAAAAGTCTAAAATACCAGTTGAAGCATTTAAGGTGATGAGGAACTCTGAGGTCTTGGAGTTCTTACTTATTCCAAATGCTTGAGTCTCTCATGGACCATTCTGGAACAATTCTTTGTGTTAGGAAGAAAAGCTACTCCCAGGCCCTAGGTTTTGCTGAACCAAGAGCAGCAGGTTCCTGCAGTCCCATACAGATGGCAGTCTGTACAAATATCCAGGAAGCATTGAAACTTAAAAACAAAGCTGGGAACAAAAACCCCACAGCACACCAAGGGAAATTCACAAAAAGTTCTCTTAAAAAGCAGCAATGTTGCCTGATAGATTGGGCAGTGGGCTAGCCATGAATTCCTACACTAATAAACAGCCCACTTAGTGTTGTAGAACCCTTCAAATCTTCCAGGAGAACACTTTTCTCCTGACAAAATTGATTTCCTGATTTAGTTGCAGTCGTGTTGGCTCTGATAACCTGGCCCCAAGTTTCCAAAAAAGCACATATTTAATATAACACTGTCACCTACACAGGCACTTTTAAATGATCCACTAGTGACTTTCTTGAAATCAGTAGGCACAGGTTTTGGCTGCGGATTTGCAGGCAACTCATTAGTACTTCATCTTGAGAACTGGTGCTCAAGGATTCAAGAATCAATATTTAGATTTAACAAATCTTTTTCTTTATTTCATAAAATAAATATAAATTATAAAATAATGATAAATCTATTCATTAAATTAATAAATAAGCAAAATTTAATGTATTTATTTTAATAAAGAACGAACTCAGTTCCCTCATCACCTTCTGGTTTGATGCCAGCCTTATAGGTGAACACCATTGCTCCACAGTGGCTTTGTGTGCTGGTCTTGTGAAGAGATATTTAATGTTAGAGCTCTGTGGTATTACCTGTCACACTTAGAGTCAATTTTTGGACACTTTGGTACGTTTGAGACACCCTTAAACAACATTGAAGCAAGCTTTTAATGGAGTAGTCAAGGCAAAGTCCCTCTTAGCTGGGAGGGAAACACATTTACCAACATGAAGAGTTGTACTTGCTGATTATCTTGGGAGATAGACATTTAAAAAATAAATGTGGGATGCTCTCTTACTGAATTTAATCCTCTATGAAGAAGTTGCTTTTTTTCTGCAAATAGCTCTTCTGAAAAAATTGTTTTATAATAAAATAATTTGCATTCATTATTGGGGACCTGTAAAATGTATTAAGTGCTCTGATCAGTCCTTTGGTTTTAATAGCAAAAACTATTATGCAGTAACTAGGAGTCAGAGACCTCACAGTTATAAAGAGCTCTACCAAAAGAAATCCTAACTGTAAATGCAATGCTTGCATTACTCTAATTATAACAAGTGATATGAAGCCACAAATCATTTTTGTGAGGAGTTCATATGTGTCCAAGTGATTGAAGATTTCTGTTTCAAACTATGACAAATTAGAACAGTTGGATTCCAAGACAGGGTATTGACTCAGGTGTTATCAAAATCTATTTTTCTGAGCTAAGCTTTCCTTAAGCAAAAGGAAAAATATACTTAAGCTTTTCCAAAAGGACGTGTTTCCTAAATCATTCATCACTTTCCTGATGCCTGTCTTCTGCAGTAGAATTAACTGGCTTCTGAACTGTTCTTGAATTGCAGGAGTCTTAAAATTTATAACACTGTAGTGACTTAACCCAGTGCTGTTTGGCCATGTGTTTGAGAAGATGTCTGCAAACCAGTGACATTTCTGGTGAGCATCCTGGCACCAGTAGTGAGTGGTTTGTGTGGAGCAACATCTGGCAGTAGGGAGGTGGAGCAGGTTTTGGTTCTGAGGTCCTCTGCATTAGGAGTTGTTCAGTTGGAGTATCTACTAGTGATTTCTAGTGTGACAACCTCTTCCACAGAGCTGGGAGCACTGATTATTCTCAGCTATTAACAGAAAGGGAAAACTGGCTGGGAAGGACAAAAGAGAGGCAAGGGAGAGGTAAAACTGCAGGAGTCATTGTTATGATGCCTAAAGCTTCATCGTTATAATGTGTAAAAGAGAGAGTCACCACCAAAATAAACGTGTTTGGGGAAGCAGTTGTTTCAGAGTGCTCCCAAGTGTGGGCAGAGCAGGAGCAGAGTGAGCTGACAGCACAGGGCAGAGTGGGACCAGAGTCAGCCCTCCTGGGTGTTGTGCAGCTGATTGAAGGCTTCTCAGGTGCTTTCTGCCTTCTGTTTTCCAGAATTATGAGGATATTCCTAGCAGTGTGCCATAAAAGTATCATTATTTCTGCATCAGTCTGTCTGCTGGACTACCTGAACTCTGGTGCTCTGCTGAGACAGTGTGCTGCTCTTCCCTCCACGATATGCCAGTGTTGGGACGTGTCACCTGCATTTCTGCCTCAGTCTGTCTGCTGGAGTACTTTAACTCTGCTGCTCTGCTGAGACAATGTGCTGCTCTCTTCCCTCCACAATATGCCAGTGTTGGGACGTGTCACCTGCATGGTCTGGGAGGTGCCCCTGGCAGTTCCAAGGGTCTGGAACACCCTGCTACACCCTGCCAGGGCTTTCCTGGTGGGAAGCAGAGGGTGCACAGGGCATGCTCTCGACAGGGGTGTCAAAGGGCATAGAAGTGCTTACAGGTGCAAATCCTGTTAGGTCAGCTGGAAGCTTAGAGGGTAGAGGGAGCTGAGTCTGATAAGCACTTTCTCCCAGATCAGGTTGTCTTCAGGCATACCCCTTGGCATGAATCAAATCTCTTCTGAGGAGCTGCTGTGCCTGACTGATTCGTGAGCCACTGGGGGCTCTGTGATGTTCACCAAAGGCAAGTGGGGCTAGCACCTGGGATGCTGTGAGCCCTGCAACAGGCTGATGAGTTAGGAAGTGGCTCTGTGGAAGAAGTGGGAAGGGTACCTGGTAGACAGCAGTAGTGGTTTGGCAAAGGCAGCCAACAGCAGGTCAGGCTGAGAGAGTGATGTAGCAGCAAGTCAAGGATGCTGATTATTCCCCACCACTCACCACTTGTGGGGCTACAGCTGAGTATTAGGTCCAGTTTTGGAAACAGCTTTTTTTCCAATAAGCCACTAACACAAGGAAGACTTTGACATGTGGGAGCGAGTCCAGTACACCAGGATGGTCAGGGGGCTGTAGCAAATTGTGTAGGAGGAGGCAGGGACAATGGGGTTTGTTCAGCCTTGGGGGGGCTGAGAGGGGGTCTCTGTGCTGTGCATACCTACATCTACCTAATACCTACCTATCAAGAACACAGAGACTCATCTGAGAGTGCCCAGAGGGAAGACAAAAGATAACAGGCATGAGATGGAACATGAGAATTCTGCTCCAATATAAGAAAAAAGTAATATTTATTATGAAGGTGGTTGAATACAGATAGGGCTGCCCAGAGAAGATGCAGATTCTCTGTCTCTGGAGAAACTAAAACTTTAACTGGCCGTTCCCCTGAGCAGCCTGCCATAACTACACCTCCTTTGGGGACCAGGAGGGACTAGATGACTCTGGGAGTCCTGCCCAACCAGGAGGATTCTACAAGTCTTACCTGATGTCCTGTGCTAAAGTCCCTGACCCTTTGTTGACATTTCTGTAAGTTTTGTGACCATTGATAAAGTGAAATGTTTGAGTAAGATAGAGCAGGTTTGATTTTCATAGGTCATTGCTACAAGGACAAAGTAAAGATCATTTAGTTCTATAAGGTGGGGAACAAAGCCTTAGAGATACCTGTGGACATTTTGGACAGCAGCTGATCCCTTCCATTTTTGTCCAAAAGGAAGAGTGCAGAACAGTGTTTTTCTCAGAACGATGACATGATTTTTCTTTTGTTCCAGCATGGTAAATTCAGCCTTATTTCACCTGTTACTCTCCTGTGACTATATTAAAAAAAAAAAAAAAATTAAAAAAACGTTTGCCAGGTATTTTTTAATTGAGAATACTTCTCTCTTTAAACATGCCTGGTGAATCTAGAAGTCCATTTGCTATTTGGCTGGTTGAAATGAATGCCGTTAATAAGCAGCTGCTTTGTGAGACCTTCGTTGTGAAGCTCAGCCAGTTAGTTACCTCTGTGGTTTCACATCTGACCCACAGCTTCCTTCTAGAGCAGCTTGTTTGTTTGTGAATCACCAGGGAGCTGCGAGTTGGCCAAGCAGGAGCTCCCCTAGCTGTAGGTTGTGACACCTCCCTCACTCCAGCCAGTGTCCTGCAGGAAGCCAGAAAAACCTGAAACCAGTTAAAATACCTGGCTCGTGTTGGCCAGAGAAGCCATTTGTGGGGACCCATCAATGCTGGGAGCTGATATTCTTACAGAGCATGCCCTCTAAGAAGGAGAAGGGGTGGGTAGGGTGTCTTCAATCCTTACAGCTCCACCAAAGGCAGGCAGGGCTACGTGGCCGTGGCTCTGTGATGGTTTTGAGGAGAAACCAGCAACGAGCGTCACGCCGGCGTTCTCAGCCCAAACCCAAGTGCTGCCCTTCTGTCTCCATGCTTCACAGGGCTGCCTGGCCAGCAGTGTGAACTCTGAACGAGTATTATGTGCCATAAAGTCCTCGTAGTTTCCTGGATTAGACCAATTAGTGTTTGTTTAGATAATTCAGGGCTTGAACGACTTCCCCTCCGGAAGCCCCGAGCCTGAAGTGCTCTGGTGGCACACCTCAGCTGAGCTGCCTGTGCCTCTGCTCTGAGAGGCTTGCAGAAAACAATCACAACTTTACAGAGACAAGTGAATCACATCTCACAAGGAGAGTTATTCACAGCACCTCTCAGTTGTTAACTGCTTGGGATTGCAGCCTTGATTTCACGCAGTGCCTGTGGTGTGTGTGTGGTGATACCCCAGTTTGAAGCGTGGAATTTGAGCTTCACACAGCTCCTTGGAGGTGAAGCCCTTGGGGGTTGCAGAGGTGAGGAAGGAACATGCAATTAGCATATGTTTTCATTTACAGTTGGTTTAGTATGTCCAATATTTCTAAAGTGCTCTGGAACAGGCCAGTAGAGTTTATCTGATGCACCTTCCTCTATGAGCAGGTGTCTGCTGCAGCTGAGGAAGAGCTGGGTGTGTTCTCTTAGGTCCCTGGAAAGGGCTTTTCCCATGAAACCACTCAAATACAAAACAGAGCAATCCTGTCTCTAAAGACTTATTCCAGTCTTAAGGAAATAACTTCAGGAGCAAATGAGCCTTGGACATCTGGTTTGCCTTTTTTTTTTTTTTTTCTTTCCATACTAGAAGAGCACACACATGGCTGTACATATGTTGTTTAATCTCTTAAATTGCAATTATGATCAAAAAATGAGGAAGGAAGTCTATGGCTAGGCGAGCAAAGCAGAGGGGGAGTTAAGCATCTAGGATAGACCAATATTCTTGACTTCTTCAGGGAATAGATGTCATCTGTCATTTCCCCTAGCCTGGAAGAGATTATATCAAAGGGATATGCTCCATCCATAATGATGAGATCACTTTTCCTGCTCCTCAGGGAGATGAAGATGATGAAAGAAGTTTGCTTCCCTCAAGAGCCTGGCAAATAAGTTTTAGCAAACAGCAAAAACAAGGGGGCAGGAAAAAGCTACCCAAGGGAATCCAGACACACTCTGTCCTAGCTGTATGATGCAAGTGGCTGTTTGAATTGCTGGGATATGTGGATTTCTCCTTTCTTTAAAAAATTGTTTGGTTTGTTTTGGTGTCTTTGGCACTGTCATGTGGCTGTTTCCCCCTCAAGTAAGATGCAGGAATGTGCAGAAGGATTAAAAAAAGCTTACTTGGCCAAGCTTCAGATTAAACACCTTGCACTTGGCTACTCAGCTGTTCCAATAAAGTTAGTTTAGTTTCTCTTAATACGTAAGTCTTGTAAGTTCAGTCTCAATAGATTTGATATGATTTGAACTATTATTTTCAGTGGGAGAAAACCTAATTTTTTTATTATTATTTTGCAGGTGGCTTCTGGTGAATGCAATGAGGACACTGAGGTTTATAAGTCTTTTAAGTTCAGTCTCAATAGATTTGATACGATTTGAACTATTATTTTCAGTGGGGGGAAAACCTAATTTTTTTTATTATTATATTGCAGGTGGCTTCGGGTGAATGCAATGAGGACACTGAGGTTTACAACATTACCCTTAGCACTGGGGATGAGCTCACTTTAATGGGGCAAGCCGAAATCCTTTACGCAAAATCTTCCAAGGAGAAGTCACGGCTCAACACCATCTTCAAAAAAATTGGGAAGCTTAATTCCATCAGCAAGCTAGGCAGGGGCAAAATGCCCTGCCTCATCTGCATGAACCATAGGACCAACGAAAGCATCAGTCTTCCTTTCCAGTGTAAGGGCAAGTTTAGCACCCGCAGCCCGCTGGAGGTGCAGATGCAAGAGGGTGAGCACACGATTCGCAATATCGTGGAGAAAACCAGGCTGCCCGTCAACGTGACGGTGCCCAGCCCCACCCCCAGGAACCCCTACGACCTCCACTTCATCCGCGAGGGGCACAGGTACAAGTTCGTCAACATTCAGACCAAGACCGTGGTGGTTTGCTGCGTGCTTCGTGGCAACAAGATCATCCCCATGCACTTCCCCTTGCACTTGGCGCTGCCCAAGTTCACCCTGCCCGACAGCCTGGTGAAGGGGGAGCTGTGGCACGAGGCCCTCATCCAGCACTGGTTTAATGTCTGCCAGGAGCAGTTTGACATAGACGAGTATTCCCGCGCCGTGCGGGACGTGAAGGCCGACTGGAACGAGGAGTGCAAGAGCCCCAAGAAGAGCCGCTGCCCCGGGCACGGCCACGTGCCCAACTCCCTCAGCTACGCGCGGGACGAGCTGACCCAGTCCTTCCACCGCCTCTCCGTCTGCGTCTACGGCAACAACCTGCACGGGAACAGCGAGGTGAACCTGCACGGCTGCCGCGACCTGGGCGCCGAGTGGGCCCTCTTCTCCCACGACGCCCTGCAGTACCAGGAGGCTGGAGACAGCACCAGCGACTACCTCTTCCCCGAGGTCGCCGAAGAGTCCCTGTTCCTGCCGGCGAAGCCGGAGCTTCCTTACGAAGAGCTGTGGTTGGACCAAGGGTGTGGGAAGGCCCCTGAGCAGCCTCTCACCCGCTCGCTGAGCGAGAAGAACAAGTGTGAGGGCTACAGGGGATCCTTCCGAGCGAAGGGTGGCACCGCGTCTCTTCCCGCCGCTGTCGGGGCGCCCACAAAGTCTTCAGATGTCTCCCTACCTCCACCTCCAGTGCCTCCCAAATCAGAAGCGGTAAGTCAGGGTTATTTATGCTGATTCCTTTCTCTTTTTTTAGCTGGCGAAGTGTTTTGGAGGGATTTTTTTAGGGAAGGAGACACAGGGAGGGCAAGAAAATGGTGGGACTTTGAGATGTGCAACTTCAGCTAGTTTCCTACCAAGAGTAAGTCGTGGCCTAAAAATCACCAGAGTATGTTTAATATAACTGATCCAGTAGCTTAATACTGATTCTTTCAGATTATATTTATTGTGGGTTTTTGCCCCCACAAACAAGGTGTAAGAATTGCCAGGTCACTTCCTTCACTGCATTTTCACATCACCTCTCCATGTGGCCTCTGTGGTTTTTCATATTTTCTGCGGCCAAAGTGTGTGTGGGACATGACACTGCTTGGACCACTGCCTCAAACCACCTTAGCGTGTGCATCTTCAGTTAACAGGCCCTGACAGTGAGGGCAGCTAGAATTTTTGATAGGTTTTAAGTGTGTGTTAATGAGAGATTGTCTTCTTCATTACAAATCTGTGGCAGATTTTGAAGAATATTGGGTATCATTGACCTCAAGGAAACTTTATCAAACTAGACCTGAATGAATCACTCTGTACTACTTAATGAAAGAAAACATGTTTAACAAGAGCTTTGCAGAGCTGATAGATGGGTCTTGTAGAAGACTCAGTTTTAAACAGAACATGTTTCTGGTGAAAACTCATGGCAGAAATAACTTCCCCAAATCTGAAATATTCTGGAGACTTCAGAAGCAAAAATACAAATATGTTTTATAAACAAGAACTTACATGAACCAGGTGGAAAATCCAACCATTAGATGGTCTCTTAACATATTCCTAAATGTTACTTTCTGAAAAACATGAAGGGAAAAAGAAAACTTCCCCTAC